TTGTATAATTTACATAAGGGAAAAATAGAAGTAATGTATATTATAGAAAATGGAGAAATTAATGTTATATATGAATTAAATATATAGGGGTAATAGTGAATCCTTTATATGTTAAAAGAAAAAATTGAAAATGGATAATTTGTGATTTATTATTTTAAATGTAAAGTGAAAAATAACATATTTTTGTAAAAGAAAATAACTGGAAAGTTGTTTTTCATAAAAATTCATATAAAAAAAAAGAGATGATTAATAATTATTAATTTATAAAGAAATAATTTAATAAATTATTTTTCAAAATTAAAATTTAAAAGTAAAATTTTTTTTATAAATTAGTGTATAAATAAAAAAAAATGAACTATAAATTGGACACAGAGGACCATATAATATATTTGAAAATTGTAAAAAAGAGAAAAATATCTATTAAGAAGCCCCGTGGGGACAGCTATAAGCGTTGTGCCGAAGTTTCGGACACTCCATTAAAAATTGTATGATACCAACTAAGGTATTGATGAAACAAGAGTGTAATGATTATGTGAGTGACTCGGAGGAAGTCCCTACAACCAGTTATTTTTGTGGAAAAAATAAAAATGTAATATCTGGGGATAGATATGTAAATTATAATAAAACAAATGAAATTGAATCTAGTAAACAATATGGGAATAGACCATGGCCACCGCATAATTATGATGGAAAGTTTAAAAGAACAAATGGAATACAACCTAAAACCGTGGTCGGAACAAATTCAATTATGGAAGATAAATATAAATATTATACTAAGATGTCAAATATCGGTGACAAAGCTACCAAATTGAGTTCGACCGTGATTAAAATGAACGATAATATGAATTTACAAAAGAAATATACTTGTATGGATACTGAAGAAAATGAAATTTTGAAAGAGGACAAAGATATTGAATAAATATAGAAATGTCAAGTTCACATATTTTTTTTTATTATTACGTCTTGGTTTTTTTTTGGCGGTCGTGTTATATATTTCTTATATATTTGTAGTGGATATTGTATATATATATATTAATATATTATATATATATTTATCAATATTTTTAGTATTAAATTATAAATGTCAATCAATCAATTATAAATGTCAATCAATCAATTATAAATATATATTTAGTTAGTAATAATATTGATTTTTGTTGATATTGATTTTTATATGATAATCGGCGCGGAAGGTTTTGTAATAAAAAAAAACGAATGTTTTTGTATTCATTATGAAAATTATGACAAGATTGTTGGAATTAATATAATTATGAGAATATTATATAAAAAAATTATAAGATATATAAACTATTGTAAAAATTATGAAATAAAGTAGAATAAATAGCAAGAATATATTATATAATCGGAGGAATTAAATATATATATATAATTAAATATTATTAGAGAGTTATTTTAGAGTCATATAAATTTAATAAAATTAGAGTTATTTTATTAACATATATTTAAAGAATATTAATAAAATATATTCAACAATCAGAATCTTGTGCATTTCATATATGGCGCCCTAAATATTAAAAATAAAATATAAATTTAAAAATCTAATATATAACTCACTTTTAAATTAAGGTCCGGATGGGTGTAAAAACTTAATATATATTTCTTCCTGCTTTTGATTTTTCACCAAAACAAAGGCTCAATTAGAATCATAAAAACACGTTATGTATCCTGATATTTCTCCAAAAATTATACTTTCATCATTATATGATAAATATTCAAGAGACTTTCTATTGAATTAAAATACATTTTACTTTTAAATTGGTGTAGACCTGTTGGAATCAATGTGTGAATTTTCTGTGTTCCAAGTATAAGTCTAGTTTTTGAAAATCTTTCCCTGAGTAATATTTCTTCGTAATCATAATTTTTTTTTGGTCATATATTCAAAATATATGCCATTAATATTTTCTTTAGCTAACTCGTACAATTCATATGATGTGGTTATTTGCTTTGAGTAAGGCCTTTATAAACTAGCTCTATCGGCTAATCTTTTAACAGTGCCACCAATCCCATCACTTCCGTGTGCTGTAGCAGGAAAATGCCATTTCGCCTGTGCCCCGAAATCCATCTCATGATGGCAAATATTAATAAAATTTTTGCGATTTTTATACTGTGCAGCGGAGCCATCGGAAAAATAAAATATTTTATTTGGCATACAAGATTTATTAATTAAAAAATTTACCAATGTTTTTTGGAAATAATATACTGCTATTGTATTGTGTTGCAAAGATTCGGACATCATTACGTATAGGCAACAAATTTTGGCAAACTTTATAATATATAACAAAAGAGTGAACAGTGGATTGAGCCCTATTCCAATGATAACTTTGTACTTCATCCTGAAGTATAAAGCTATAGTTTTCTTAAAAATCACATAAAATTAAATATTGGCCTTCGTCTAAGTTCAATTTTAGATTGTTTTAATACAACGATTGTTGCGTTGAAATAAAAGATGGGGTATTAAAGATTCCATTTTATCAAAAAAGGCATTGATAATTTCATCTACTGGCTTGGTTATTGTTTCAAGAGTGGTTCTATCTACGGATAGCCATTATTTGTATGTTATAAGTTTGATGTCCTTAGAACGAAACAATATTTCTATTTGATCGTGTAAATGTGTTGACCCTGGTCAATTATCACATTTGCCCATATAAATATATTTTATTGATTGAAACACTCATTTATTGTTATTCTTATTTACAAGTAAAGGTATGCCGATTTTAGAAAATCCGATCCAATATTTATATTGTATTGGGTTATTTTATGATGATAATATTTTTATAATTTCATATTTGTAATATTTTAAAAATATCAAATTATTTTAAAAAATTGAGTAGCGAAAATTTTGATATTATTTTTGGCGTCATATATGAAATGCACAAGATTTCATATATTCCTCAAAACTTGGTTGGACATATTTTATTAACATTCATTAAATATATGTTATATGGGCAAAAAAATTTATAATAAATTATAAAGTAATAAATTGAATTTCTTTTATCGATAGACAATTTATATAATTGAATAAAAGTCCCATTTATTGTTATTTTCACTTGCAAGATCAATAATCCTTTAAATTTTATCAAATAGTTTAAGAAAAAAAACATTAAAAACTGATTAATATATAATTTTAGTTGGGAAAATATTTATACACTTTTATCGATTTTGAGAATGAAGATGGCCGCGTCCCAGACCAATTTTTTTTTATAAATATAAAGGAAGAGTTTAGAATGTACTAAATTTTTTTTAAAAATTGAAGGTCGTATTATTTCCAAAAAATTGTTTATAGTCCTTGCATATTGAATAAAATGACTGGAAATTAATCTTTGTACGTAATTTTGATATTAAATTTGTTATTTAACTACACTAACCTTTCTTTGATTAACAAATTTTAAAAAAATCGAAGGGGGTCGGTCGAAAATCTCATTTTTTTTGCTCATTTGACATGGAATGACCCATAACCATATGGTAATATTTATTATTTAATTTTTTGCATTTTAATTATAAAATCATTTCTATACTATCATTCCCAAGTCTAAAGTTACTATCAGAAAGTATAAGTTTCGCCTTACTAAATAATCTCTCAACACTAGCACTTTAGCACAAGGTTAATTTCATATACATATTTTTATATAAGAAAAATTATCAAAAATACTCATTTGTATAGATTTAAAAAATGCTTCTAGGGGATTTTCTATTATATTAGTATCCTTTATTTCAAAAAAAATTACCAATGGAAGTCGTTTTTATGGTTCTAACTAGGGCATCTTTGTTTGTTATCTCTATCATTTAGTGTCTGGCGACAAAAATAGTTTTAATCATCATAGTAAATGATGGATTGTCAACCAATGACATTGGCTGCTGTATCATTTATAAAATCGACAATAACTTTATCAGCCAGTTTCTGAGATATATTAGCATGTAAAATATTATAAATCAATTTAGCTTGATTGAATTGGTTTCTTTGAATGTAGTCACCTATCCTAAAATTTTAAGATGTTTTTCTATCTCTTTAAAACTGTTGGTATGAACATTCTTACAAAATAAAAATATTAGAATTTAAAAATGGCAATTACCTTTAGGTGTTTTTGAGGTTATAGGTACTAGATTTATTGAACAAATAAATTTGTACCCACCATTTGTTTTTACATTAATTTAATATTTTAAAATTTTGGAAATGGATAATTAGTTTTGTTATAATCCATGGGTTCGCTGTATATTGTCTTCTCGGAACGTATATATGATGTTTTTATTAAAACGTATGGCATTGATTTTATATATTTAAAATTCCCATCAAGCCAGGCCAGCAACAATCAATAATATATAGGTTCGGCCCGAAAAATGAATCTTATATTTCTTTCCTATTCTTCATTTTTGTGATTATATATCACAATTAATCATGCCAAATCTCCCCATTTGACTATATTTAAAAATGGAAATACTGAGTTATCCGTTTTAAAATATCAGCTCGTATAGAGCAATTTTGCATCACTAATCACAATTATAAAACGAATCTTTAAAAAAAAGGAAGTTTAAAAAAAATTAAGAGGTGGGAAATATTTAGATTTGCTATTAATTTTCATACATATTTTATAATAAAATAGATAAACATAATTAAATTATTAGTTATTATTGAATATTAATAATTTGCAACAACCAGGCCATGGAGAGGCTCGGGCTAAAATATTTGATTTTGCATGTATTTATTCCCCATTAAATTTTAGTTTGATCATTTATTTATTTATTATGAACTAATGGGATAATTATATATAAGAGCTAAGACCTGATGTGGGTTATTGGGACTAGAACTGTATTAAATCAGCTAAGGCATGATATGAGATAGTAGAGTTAGAGAATATGTTTTTTTTTAAATTAATCACTCATCCGTTTCTTATATTATTTGGCCCAAAAGTCATGAAAAATAATGATTATATAAGTTGAGAAGATTAAAAATTATCATATATTTAAAAAAAAAATTATTGAAGAAAGAGTGGTAAGTGGACAAATGAAGAAATCGATATGTTGAAAAATTCCATTCAAACGTTTGCAAATGATTTAGAAAGAATAAGCGAGCATATTAAAAATAAGACAATGTAAACAAATTTATTAGGCCATTTTATTTATAATATATAATACATTTGCTTTTTTAGATCTCAAATAAGACAAACATTGAAAAAGAAAGCATACGAGGAAGCGGGGATTCCTGAAAATGCAAAGATTTTGTCCTCTGAGAATAACCTCGAACTCAATAATCAACAAATTGTTATAAGTAATATTGATACACAAAGTTCACTGGTCGCAACTACTTTAAATGAAGATGATATTGTTGGCTCAAATCTTAATGAAAGCATGGCATCAAAGTTTGAAATAAATGTCAAACAAGAAAATATTTTATTAAATAGCGACAATTGATTTTTTTAATAAATCTTTATTTTTAGTAGATTTATATTATATTAATTATTTTTCATAATCTATCATCATTTAAAATTTAGCATGTAATGTTATATTATTATTAATAAAATAATTGACATAGTATTTTTTTTAAATCAATCGATTATATTATATAATTAGATTATAATAATGAATAATTTTGGGCACTCTAAAACGAAGTTCCTTGAGATATAGTGGTTTGCATCTTTTTGTTAATATCTTTGGACTCTACATTTTCGTAACAAACATTTTTACAAGCCCAACATAAACAATAATGATCGAGCAATTGATACAGCAATTCTTTTTCATCCAAAAATTCGAGATTTAAAATCCTATTGAAACAGGTGAAAAAATATATAAATAAGATAGCCTACATAATTTCTAAAAATTGTTTTAAATTATAAAAAATGATTTGTGAAATAAAAAATTATAAAACTCACCTGTGCTTTTCTAGGTCTGGCATCGAATAAAATAATTTTAATATTGAATCAACTTGAACAGAATCCCAACCCACATTTAAAAAGCTATAAAAACATAGATAAAATTAAATATTATAGTAAACATTTAAAAAAACATGGTATAATTATTATATAATATCTCTCACGTTTCAGATACATTAACTTAAAAGGTATATATTGATATAAAACAAACTTAGATGATAATATATTTAAAAAATTGACTATATAATATGTAATAGTAAAGTCCCTGATATTAAGATAAAAAAATTGATTATTGCTTCTTTCGAGAAGTATTTTTTATGTATATTTTTTAGATATAATATGGGATTGGTTATGATTGGTTTATTTTTTTTACACATAATTTATTTTTATATAAATTGATATTAAAATACCTACAAAATACAAATAAATTTTTGATAATTTTTACTTTTGTATTCCGGGAATGGATTTGGCCTTTCTAAAACTAAGAATTTTTTATATTCATCATTTTTTACACATGTAATGAATTCCAGTAATATTTCCTTTAAAAAAATTTAGTGCTGTAAACATTTCTAAAAAAATCGAACGCGTTCAACGTTCATTGACAAAAATCGAAAGCCTTCACGTTCAAGTACACTTTAAAAAAAGGAACGCGTTCACGAATGCGTTCACGTTCATGAACCGTTCAAAATTTTTTTTTAAATTAAATTTAATATGAATAAACTTATATTTTTTAATACAATATATTAGCCATGTTAAAAAATAATATAGTTTTATTTTGATAATATAATATATTTATAAAAAAATTTCTTATTAAATTTTAATATTCAAAACATTTATCTAATAGACAGGAACACTTGGCAGTTAATACGGCATTAGCTATACTAAAAACGCGCTCTACAGGGGCAGATGAGGGGATTGAGGTATTATACTTAATAAACAGCTCTTTTAACGTGGAGGATTAATTAAAAATTTATTGTTTTGTTATTTGCTTCAAAAATTGAGATAAGTTATCCTCCTCCAATACATTCTCTACTTCCTCGGTAATTAACAATTCTCTAGGGTTTTCAAAGCATTTTTTTTCAATAATGCTATAAGTTTGTTTTTAATAGGTCCGTTCTGTCGAAGTTTTATCCATGGCCATTGAAGTTTGAATGCTGGATGTATAATTGCAGAAAGAACATATTGATCTTTATATATACACTAGTTGATAGCCCGTCAAGAATGACGGGAATTAATGTTCTTAAATATTGGATATTAAACTTGTACCTTATATTATATTAAAATTTAGTAGAAAAAGAGGTAAATTTGTAAATCATACCTCATAAAATATTCATAATTTCTGATTTAAATATTGGGAAAAATATTATTACCCGCCTTTCTCGAAGGGCATAATAATAACTAATAACACCAGAGCTCCCGTTAGTCAGCATTGCTGTTCGCTCTCCACCGCGTGAAGGTGAGAGATGGGTTTTAGGGGAGCAAGAGATGAGCAAAGAATGAATAAAAGAAGGTAGAAATATAGGAAAAAGAGACAAAAATGTGAAAAAAAATTTTATAATAATTTACAACCATATACTATAAGCGCGGAATTAACGCCGCATGCCGGTATCGGTTCTAAATCGCTAAACGATAAATAGCCAAAAAAAGGGATGTTCCCAATTTTGTTACCAGTAAATGGCTATTAATGTTTTATTTAAAAAATGAAGATCCAAACCGTAGCAAAAAACACAAATAAATTACTTAAGTATATAAGAAAATTAAGTATTTGAACTAAATTTGTAGTGTCTGTTTAAATATAATTTGTAAGATATATATTTGTATTAAGTATTTAATATAACGATGTTTTATTGCCATTTAAAATATTTATTAAATTTCTAAAATGCTTTCTTAATATAATTTTTAATTATATACTAAAATTTATTATAATTTCACATATACATATGTAATATATTCGTATTAAGTATTTAATATAACTATTAAAGAAATTTTTTATTGCCATTTAAAATACTTATTAAATTTGTAAAACGTTTTCTTAATATTACAAATTATAATTTCATAGAGCTTAATAATCCAATGAAAAAAAATAAATATTGATTAAATTTAATTAATTTTAAAAAATCAAATATAAATAAAGATTTTTATAGCAAAATATAAAGCTTAAAGGGGCTGAACGGTAAGAACGTTTGCCGAAATTAAGGCGCGAGTTCGAATCCCCGAGTAAGAAAAAAAAATTTAACATTACCGAGATAATAAAAGCCCTCGATTTATTTAACATTAAGAAGATAACGTTATGAAGATATGAAAGTTGATACCAAAAAAAATTAACGTTATAAAGATAGGAAAACGTTCATTTCTTGAATACGGCTATTATATATATAGATGTTCAAATTTAAAAGAAAAGAAAATATATGTAATTAATTGAGAGTGATAGGTTTAATACATTTTATTAATCCCATTTAATACTGCGTCTATAAATGGTTGAGGCCAATAATTTTTTTAATTTTAAAATAACTATCTTTATTGTTGGGGTCAAATATCCCAAATGCATTATTTCTTCAAATTTAATGATTTTACTTAGTTATATAATATAAAATAATTAATATTACTATCAAATGTCGTTTTAAATTGGAAATTTGACAATATAATACTTTTTGGCCACATTTTACATGGTAAGCATTGAATTAGTTCCTTCAATATAGGATGTTACTGTAAAACATCTATCATATTTGGCCATGGTAATGATAATTCATCTGATTTTGGATTCAGAATAAGATGATGAGGATTAAATAATAATATCCATGCTTATGCTAATCTATTAAATTAAAATATAAACAATAATATTCAAATTAATAAACGTGTTAAAAAAATTGAAATGTGAAAAGGAAATACACAGCAGATTAAAAAATATAAATAATACTTTTTTTTAAAAAATTCTGAAATATTAAATTTTTCAAATAAATAAAAATAAAAAGTATTTTTAAAATTGAACGAACGTTAAATACGCGTTCGTCATAAAAAAGGAACGCGTTCACGTTCATAGTTCGTCAAAAATAAAAGGAACGCCGTTCATCTTTTTCCCCAAAAAATGAACTTCGTTCACGAACGCCGTTCATCTTTTTTCCCAAAAAACGAACTTCGTTCACGAACGCCGTTCATCTTTTTTCCCAAAAAACGAACTTCGTTCACGAACGCGTTCAACAAAAATTAATGAATCAAAGGTGTTTAATATTTTATTCTCATTTAAGCTCAAATATATCAAAAGATATCTAAAATTAACCGGAGTGCATTTTGCCCTGCCCTGTTTGGAGTTGAAGGTTAAAATTTTATTTTTTCTTAGTAATAATATATTAATTCATGTTGATTATAAGGTTGTGTCAAAACCATTTTAAAAAATTCGATAAGTTTCAAAACTTTTTTAAATTTTAATGAAATTATAGAATTAAAATAGCATATTTATTTATTATAAGTTTCGAAATTTTGTCAATTTAATTTTTTGGATACAGCCATATTTTTTAAAAAAACATATCAATTTATATAAAAAAAAAAATTAACTAAACATAAAAACAACCAATCCCTTATTAATGTTTAAAAAAATACCTAAAAATGAGATAAAATATACCGCTCGAAAGAAGTAATAACCAAAAAATTAATATGGAATAAGTTTATTAGAGGTGTGCCGATACCAGTTTTGGGAGGAAGACCCAGGGGGAGTTAGCCGGGGCTCAATGATTGCTCAAAATCGAAAATTCTAAAATAAATATATTTTTTGCTTCAATGTATTTCCAAAATTTTTTAAGGGTCTCCAAGCCCCAAATAGTACAACTGGGCCAATCTGATATCCATCACTAAAGTGAATCTTGATTGTGTTCGATATTTTAAAAATGAATTTTTCATTGTTTTAAAGCTATAATTCAGGTTGCTGGAAAATAAATCTTTTCATCATAAATATAAAAAAAGTTTAGTAAAATGTTTGAATATCTTCTTCAAAATTTTTAACATTTGGTGGACGGGTTAAAAATATAACCAATGAATTGGCGGATGAGCTAAATACAGACCTCTGGTCTAGGCAACCTTGTCATGTCCACGATGTTTCTTTCGTAATGCGTTGAATTAGTAATGAACTTTACCTTTTTTGCTGTACACCCTACATTTGGCGTTAGCATATCAATAATAAAATCGTTGTAAATTTTTTTTTGTTCCAAAATTTTTTCTATCGCTAATAATATAGAATTCCATATAGTTAATTTTTTACATTATTTAATTTTCGCTTCTATTCCAAATTTTTATATTACTCTAAAGCAAGTGCGTAGGCAGGAAATTAGTAAGTGGGGGAGGGGATATAATTAAATTTTTTTAGAATTAAGAATATCATAAGTCAGAAATTTATTAGGACTAGTGACTAAAATATTGACAATACATAAATATAAATTAATTATAAAAATATTAAATGTATATGTTCGGCGTATGGATCACTATGGATAAAAACTTATTTAATAAATTATATTAAAAAAAAATAAATGTTGGAAATATATATTAATGCACAAAAATATTCTTAAGAATTATTTTATAAATATAAATTTACAAATTGTAGCCGGGGTGACCCAGTGGTGTATGATGTATGCTTGGAAACCGAAAGTTCCAGGTTCAATCCTGATAAGTAACTAAAAATTTTCGGGTTTTTCTTCAATGACGGATGTGTATAGACATATGATATGATGAATTCTGAGCTGAGAAATGCCACCCCGCTTACCGACAGGCTTGGGCAACCGGGTGCTAGGATACTTGTCCAATAAACCAAATAAGACGGCCAGCTGAACTCGTGGGTCATTAAAGGATGATAACGATTTCTTGGCCAGCGCTAGGATAATGGTATGCTACCAAGCTACAATGGACTTGATAACGATACTCCGGTGTGAGATTAAGATTACAATGGAATCGATAGGAATACTCCTGTGGGATATCTGTCGATTTGATACTTTGGTATGAGATCAAAATACTTTGGCCTCTAGAGCGATACTCCGGTGGGATCCAAATGGAATCGATCAGAAATATAAATAAGATAAAAATAGATTGCATGAGTAATA